ACTTATGTATCTCTGTTGATACATTTCTGAGCAGGGTGTTGCTACCAAAAATCTTCAGTCAGTTCTTTGAGCAGGTTCATTCAGAACCAGCGGTAGCCCCCCTGGGTGGCAGGGCAGGGTCTGGTTTGGTTTTTTAGACACCTGGCCGTATCCCCTTAAAGAAATCTCTTTCTTCTGATTACAAGCCTTGAGCTCTGCCCTAGGCCTGGGCTTCCCAGCCCAGCCTTTAACAGGTAAGTTCTTTTAGGATATGCAGCTCAGGCCCTTGGCCGGAGGGGATAATGTCACTGACAGCCGTCAAGGCGTCCTTGGGGCAACTCCCATGGATATGGTAGAGTTGGTACTTAGTGCTCGCCATGGTTTCTGGCATGCACTCCCCTCAGCATGGTGGCGTGGGTATACCGTTCCCCATAGTGACGCAGTGTCTCGTTCCCTTCTCAGGGAACCATGGTTACATACGTAACCTGAGACGTTCCCTTCCGAGGGAACTTCGAACTGCGTCCTCTAGATCCCTTGCCATGCTTCGGACGTAAGCTTCAGACGAAGAAGCGAATGACGTGTTTTCTCGGCACCCTTTTATACTGTGGTCGTGCCGGGTGATGAAGTCACAGGCTGTTGCCGGCCAATGTTATTGTCGTGTTTAGATGTATGCTTCAGACACCGGTCACGCTGAAGGCGTTCCCCCATAGCGACCTCTAGAGGACGCAGTGTCTCGTTCAATGTACTTCAAAGTTATGATAACAACAATAATATTCTTTATAATAATGAATTTATTTAAACATTATTTTTAAGGAATATCATGTTTGTCCATGTTTTAACTTAGTATTAGGGATGGAACGATTACCGGTTTCACGATAAATCACGATAAAATGCCCTGACGGTTAGTATTATCGTTTAAAATTTAATTATCATCAAAACCGTATTTGATTATCGCGATTTTGAAAACTCGCAGTAAATCCTGTCCAGCCAGCATCAGTCTGACGCGGGAGCAGCATGCAATGTTGTTG